ACTAGTTCCTGAGAATGACCCTTCAAGGGCCGTTGTGATTCTATAACAGACCAAATCATGTCCATATCACACCTGTTGTGTCCATAAAATAACGTGCAAAGTTCATTAGTGTGTGTGTGTGTGTTTAATGCAGACTAACTCTTGATCAGATTAACAATCAGCTTTAGAATTACTAGCAAAATAATCAGAGAACAGCTCAATGTGTGCGTGTTTTCTTTGTCTCGTGTCTACAAAAGTGGGTCACAGTGTTTCAGGGATTAACCAACTAACCAAATAGCCCTAAAACCCCCCGCCTTCACACTAACCGCCACCCTACCATGTGATTATGAGATATCTGATCAGATTTCATCAGAAACAGTGTGTAACCCAAGAACTGACCTCAGATCTGCCTGGATACGACCGTCAGCCAATCACACGGCAAGAAAACACCGCAGCTGAAGGTTCAGAGGTCGCACAGGAAGCTTAACAGGTTTGACCCCCGTCACGACATCGGACTCCATCTAAACAGAACAAATGACAACAACTGAAGAAAACAAGACACTTACTTGAATGTCATTGAACATATAATAAAATATCAAATCAAATAAATTTTTTTAAGATTTAAAAACTTAATGATAGAAACATAATGATAGAAATAACTAGAAAAAGCTTAGAAACTTTACTAAAACGTAGTGCTAAAACTCAGACACTTCCTGGTGAGACTATTCAATTCAGATTAAAAGTCAATAAAAAAAAATTCTATAGTGATAGAAATTTGTCTTAGGTTAGGGCTCACAAACAACAAAACGTCTATAAAAATAGACACCTAAAATAGTACTAACTTAGAAAACAGGAAAAAAAACTTAGTACTAAAACTTAGAAACTTGGTATTTAGAAAACTTAGTACTGAAAACTTTAATAACTTAGTATTAAAACTTAGAAAACTTGGAAAAATCTTAGAAACTTCATATGACACTTCATGGTGAGTCTATTTTACGTTGTTTAAAATGGATATTGTGCTGGGGATAAAAGATACACACACAATAAATACAATTAAAACACATTAGTGGACGTCAGTGAATCACACGACAGGAAAATCCTGGAGTGGTTTTCAGACTCCATCTGAACAGAACGAATGACAACAGCTAAAGCAAATGAGACACTTAAAAGATTAAAATTTGATTTTCTATCACATAGTGACAGAAACGTGACTAAGGTTAGGGCTCACAAACAACAAAACAGCCATAAAATAGACACATATTACTAAATAGTACTAAAAACCTAAAAAAAAAAACTTAGAAACTGAGTGCTAAAACTTAGAAAAAATGGCAAATACTTAGAAACTTAGTACTAAAACTTAGAAAAAATGGCACTTAGAAACTTAGTACTACAACTTAGAAAAAATGGAAAATACTTACTTAGAAACTTAGTACTAAAACTTAGAAAAAATGGAAAATACTTAGAAACTTAGTACTACAACTTAGAAAAATGGCAAATACTTAGAAACTTAGTACTACAACTTAGAAAAATGGCAAATACTTAGAAACTTAGTACTAAAACTTAGAAAAAATGGAAAATACTTAGAAACGTAGTGCTAAAACTTAGAAAAAAAGGCAAATACTTAGAAACTTAGTACTAACACTTAGAAAAAATGGAAAAT